CCCCAAAACCCCAAAACCCCAAAACCCCTTTATATATTTAAAATTTAAATACAAAGTCATTTTTGTGACAAGACTGAGATGCTCAATCCAGAAGCCAGTACCCAAGGATTCAATATGGAAAATCCCAATGCAAGCAAGCATTTAAGTAAAAATTTCTTGCTCAATACGTAAGTGGAGTTATCTTCCGGGTTGAGAGATCTGACATGGTATTTAGAGATACAAAAACTCTTGATCTGATGAAGCATTACTTAACTTCTTTGGAGAATCCAGAGAAAGCTCCTGAAGGAGAAGGCGATAAATCTGAGCCAGATCAAGCTCATGGTAATTTTTTATAAAAATATTTAGCCCAAACAATGAAGCAATTAAACCATGTGAATAGTTTATTTGAGCTCTCAAGTCGGCGGAAATTGGAAAGAATGAGGGCAAGTAACCCTATACTGAACCTTGAGAGCAAACAAGAGGAGCTGTACTCTGTTCAACAAGCTATTGGTCAGCTTGGTGGACTCTCCGATACACTAAAACCTCTTCAAGAATCCTTAACAAACAATGAAATAGCTAATATCAAAAACAAAGTTAGGTAAGTAAGTCCTGATATTCTGTAGAAAAGGGAACACAATTGGGCCTGAACTTGATAGAGAAGGGATTACTCCAAATCTATTTGCAACTGCACCTTATGAACCAGCTAGGACAGATAAATATCTCCGCCCAAAAGACAGGAACAGTGAGTCAGGACCTTTACTCTATAGCTGCTTTGGTAGAGACAGTGAGCCACTTTACTTACAACAAAGGCGATGTCATGAACATCCTCTTCGATAAAGCCAATAAAGAATGCTCAAAAAGAAGGGAGAAACTGAACAAAATTAAAAAGTGGAATGACTACAACACTTTAAAGGTTGGCATTTATTTCTCAGTGCTATAGGACCAAGGGTTGAAAGAACTTGCCTCAAGAATGGCAACTCGGTAAGATAACTTCTATTACATTTAGTGTAAAGATGGACCAACCATTAATTCCAAAAGAGCAATCTGAACATCAAGAGGAATTCTCTCAAAATGAAGATGACCATCTTCAGAGAGAAGATAATCATGTGGAGACTTTACAGATTAATGAAGTAGTGGAGGATACAACTCCCGAACCTCATGGTCAGGATGAAGTAAGAACATATTCATAATCTTTTCTAGACTAATTCTCAACCACAAAATGAAAATGAGGAGAATAAGTTAGAAGAAAGCAAAGTTAATGATGGAGAACCTAAAATAGACGATTCTCATATGGATAAGCAATCTGACAAAGAAAATATGAAAGAAGAGCTTTCTGATAAACTTGAACAAAAGCTAGAAGAAGAGCCTGTTGATAAGCCTGAGGAAGAGTCTGTTGACAAGCCTGTAGAAGAGCCAGTAGAAGAGAAAATTCAAGAGGATGCTGAAGAAAAGCCAGAAGATGCAGTTAACCCTAGCGAGAAATCTAATGAAGAAAATCCTGAAGAAGATGTTGGTGAAGAGCCTCCGATTCCGGAAGAAATAAAGCAATCTTAATTTCTCAATAAGCAGTTTAGAAGAAGGGGTTTTGGGGTTTTGGGGTTTTGGGGTTTTGGGG